TACATGTTGATTACGCTAACCCTTTATAAAAAATACAATAACATCAATAAAACTTTGTCAGTTAAAACGTTTATGTTACTTTTAGAATAAAAGTACGGAGGAATTGGATTGCACTTGATAAATACTTCTTTACATTATTGTTAAAAAAAACTTAATTGAATTATCGTTAAGTAGATTATCCTTAAGCCTCCGAGAAGTCGAGAATACGATGTGTGCTACATTGGTTAATGTCCTCCGCCTGGAGTTGTTTTTCTTGTCAGACTGAAGGACTTGTGACCTTTAACCCTTGGTAACTTCTTACTGACACATAGCAGTTTTTAACGGCACCACCCAACAATGGATAACGTACAACTGAGCTTTCAAATTTTTTTTTCAAAAATATTTCCTGTGATGTAATCTTTTGGCAGGATTTGAAGCATTCTTTACAGTCATAACAATCTTGGTTCAGTGTAGATAATATTTAATTTGAAGATTATGAGAAAAGTGTCTACTGAGAAAATTTCTTCAAAGGCTATTTTTGCATCGTGCAGTGTGCATTTATGTATCGATTATTCCGCCCTGGTTGCGTGTCACATCTGCATTTTTTTTCAGTCTGCGTGGCCTGAGATTCCTTAGCTCAATATTTTTACACTTCATCTACCCAGCCTATCATCAATCAATATAACATTAAGGCTTAGGTAAACACCACGATGTACCTTAATGTAACTATCATAATTAGTGAATAAATGTTATGCGCAAAGCTTTAGATGTGCGTCATACACACCTAGCTTTAATTTTTTTTTTAAATTTTACTGATTAACTGTTTACAGGCTATTCTGGTCTGATATTCCCACCACTGTTCTCGTATATGTAACTATATACAATTTTTATATAATAAGGGTTTCTTTAGAAGTAAACCGATGACTCTTCTGCCAATGAGGTGCTAGCGGATCAGGTAGACCGTTTCTACCAAACTTTATTTAAGCATTGCCGCCATCACATTCCCATTTTTTGTATAAAGTTGATAATGGGTGCTGGTCTGCGAGTTGGTGAACTCCATGCTAAACCGGCATAGGGTCACTTATTGGGTATGTCTTATTGTATTACTCAAACGCGTTTCGGCATTGTGCCGTCTTCAGTGAGGAAGTGAGGAACTGTCTGATACTGTCTGAGAGATATGTATTGGGCCCGTCGGTTGTCGCTAGAGGCGTTTGCGTTGCGGTAGGTGGCGTGGTTATGGCGTTCATGGTTCCGTCGATGTCGGTTATTATATGTTGTTAGTTTTTGTTGTGTCGGTTTCGAAGTTGTTTTCTTCTGAACACTCTCGTTGCTAAGTAGTGTTTTAGTTGTATTATAAGTTTTCCGTCTTTTAAGTATAAGTTGTTTGTATATCTCTATGTCCTCCAGTACGTTGAGTTTTCTTCCTTTTTGTTCTTTGTGTATTAAAGCCATTCATCACAATCACGAACCTAACAGTAGAAACAAGCATGATTTATAATGCCGCAACGCGTTTGAGTAATTGAACTAATTCAATCGAGTGAAAACGGACCCAAAAAGTGACCCTATGCCGGTTAAACATGGAATTTACACTTTTAGAAAATTTCACTGTTACGTTTATTTACACACAAGCTTAGACCAATACTGACCGGCTCGATTTAGGACGATTAATATTCCTCAAGTTGGATCTATATTTGCTTTCGACTTAGGCTCTGACAGAGAAATCGCATAGACTTATCTTCCAAGGGCAATCGGCATGAAAATAGTACGGTGGGCAAAAATAAGCGTGCCGCGGTATTGACCTTAACCCCACCTAGATATTAATTGGGCCACGTACTTGCGAATTTGGCGCAAAAATAAATCTGAGTATTGTGGGTAATTTAAGGCATTGGAATGTACCCCGAAGGCATTTGTCTTTTAAAATATGGGATGATACGATCAAATATTATAACGAGAGGCAAAAAAGTGGCAGACCTTAATATTTTGCCAGTGATTATCTTATAACAATATTTGGTCCGTTTTAAAGGATTGGAGGTAAACAAAAGACAGATAAAATCTCACACTTATGTTTACAATTCGATTTTGCAAATAAAACTCTGAATAGTCATTCTCTTCTTTGTTGGTTTTTGTATAAAGCTTCTTTCTAACGTTCCGGTTGTTTAATTTTTTTTAGTTGTACCATTTTTAAGTTTACAATTAGTTTGATGGTTTTAAGTTGATTCGGTAGAATACGCTACTAAATACATTCACTCTAAACACACCCTAGGAACACAAAACTAATCAGAGCTATATACAATTAAATAACCCTTTTCTCCAGAAATCGGAACAGGGGACCCATATACTCCCTGCTGTGCTCGAACACAATTCTCATATCGGGAGACATTCCTATGCGCTCTCTATATGGAGCCAAGGAATTGCACTCTTCAGTTAGGTGGGACACATCGAAGAACCTTTCTCTACATCCCGGACACATACAAATAAAACTGATAAAATATCCACTTGTGTTTATAATTGGATTTTGTAAATAAATCTGATAATAGTCAATCTCTACATGTTGGTTTTTCTGTAAAGCTTCTTTCTCACGTTCAGATAGTTTTTTTTAAGTCGTACTATTTTTGAGTTTCAAATTTGCTTGAGGGTTTAAGTTTCAAAGGTGCTTGATTCAGTTGTAATGATAGCATTATTGAAAGATGTAACAACTCATGCGTATGTGGCCAGGGTGCTTAACATTCCCAGAGCAACTGTCAGAAGGGTCTTCCACCGCTACCAACTGCATTAGATAAACTGGAGGTTTCTCAATAAGACATGGATCAGGTCACCATCGTGTCCCATCTCAGAGAGATGATCATTTAATGTTTCGAATGTTACCGTAAATTCCGACATTCAACCGTTATTGAGATGAAGCAACTACTTCAACAAGTTATAAATGTTGCTGTTCGCACTGTATGACGAAGACTTTCAGAAGCTGGATTACGTGCGAGAAGGGCTGCCACTGGTACAGAACCTCTGACAAGGCACAGAACAGCTCGGTTAAGTTTCGCAAGAAATGACATCAATTGGCCTGAGCAAAATTGGACTAAAATCTTGTTTTCCTGATGAGTCAGGTTTTGTTTGATGTCTTCTTACTGCCGAGGCAGGGCAAGCAGCTATTAAAGCATTAGCATGTAAAAGAATCACATCAAAACTAGTCAGTGAATGCATCCAAACCTGGGGAAACACAACAACCTGATGATATCTTGGGTGCCAGGGCACAGGGGAATTTAACGGGTAACGAGAAAGCAGACAGACTGGCCAGAGGAGGATCTGCAAGACCATACATAGGCCCCGGATAACAAAAACAAATATAGAATCCTCCATCGCAGAATGGATCCAAGCAAAACAAAAGGAAAAATGGATAAACTCTAGCGGTGCTAGACATAGTAAACGTATGATGAAGCAACCCTCACCGAGACTGGCAAAAACACTGCTACAATTGGAGAGGGCCAAAGTAGGACTACTAACCGGTCACTGGTATCTGAGAAAACATCTACACAACATGGGTATATACAGCGATGAACCCATTTGCAGATTATGTAATGAGGAGGAGGAAACAGCCCCTCATATCATCTTCGAATGCGAAGCAACAGCTCAATGGAGGTTTAACCTAAGGATTGAGTCTATTGACTGAACTAAGGAACTAGGAAGGTACAATAAGCCAGAAAGCTGCAGTGCCTGGGGAATACAAACCCCGCTTCCTAGCATCCTTTCCACCATACCATATCATACCATACTGCCGAGGCAGGGTTTGGAAAAGAACTGGAGAGATATATGCCCGCAACATTTTCACTCCGGAAAGCTATGGAAGTTGTGGAGTTATGGTTTGGGCAGGCATTTGTAAGGGAGGTCGCACAAACTTGATCTTCATCGGGAATTCCTAACAGCTGCACGATACATTCAATATGTGTTATCGGGAGTTTTTCCTTGCCAATAATTGGCGCCAGTTTATTTTTGCATGGCAATGGAAGGCCCCACACCGCTAGGATCGTTGGTGACTACTTGGGCTTCAATTTAATGTTTAGAGTAGGCCGTATGTAGTCCCGTCTTAAACCCTATCGAACATCTTTAAGACGACTTGTCAAAGAGGGTGAAAAATCTCCCCGGGGGACTTACTTGCCAGAGCATTTGCAGGAAGTAAGAATGGCGCTGTTAGAGAAGTATGAAAATATTACACACCACTGCATTCAAAAACCGCATAAAATTGTCATATCGAACCTGATCAACCGCAAGAGGAGGAAATAATCCGTACTAAATTGCATGAATATTTAATTATTGATGAATATTTTCCTCATTGTTTCGATAATAACATTTTTTGGTAAAATTCAGTTTAAGTTTTGATTTATTTTTACATTATTATATTTTAAAAAATATAAAGTAAAAAAATCTATTATTGAAAGTATTTACTAAAAAAAAAAAAAAAAATGAAACTACTCTTGCTTACAAGCATTCTTTGTTAAACACACCAATAAATACTGAAAATAAAAACGGAACTTTATTCTCTCAAGAACGAACACAAACTACACATAAATTCCTTCGGAAACTAAACAGTAGATATTTCTGAAAATGTAAAACTTCGTCGTATGATTAAACTTCTAAAATAACAGGCGTATTTTTTTTCTCGACGAGTATTACAATACGCATAGTCGAGTTCCACCATGCGTACCAGGATACGACGTGGTCTCTCAGGACGATGTAGACGCTGAGCAGGTAGCCGAAGACGACGACGATCTGGAAGCTGACAGACAGAGCGCGCGTGTATATCGGAGAAAGTCCCAGTTTACGCCCTTCATTCACGAAGAAATCCATGCTGAATATGCTGAACGAGCATAACGCGGCAGTCAAGCTGGTCAGCACAATCACGGCGACGACATCGGCCCTCAGGAGCATCCTATTCGCAGACTGCGAAGCCCAAATCCTTCAAAAAGAAAAAATATCAGACCGGAAGATTTCATGTTAAAAAAATACAATAAAATAAAAATAAAATTTGAAAGAAAAGAAGATTTAAGGATAATGTTGCTTTATTTGCATTTCTACACAGCAGTCAGCGCGCTGCTTTTGCTCGTTTCCGCTACTTCGTTTTTGATTGTCGGGTTCGACTCGTTTACTATGACTTTAATGAGGAGGCACCGGGTCCACCAGCGATACCAAGGGATGACGTGGTCCTTCGCCATGAGGTATATCGTGACGATATACCCGAGGATCATCACGATGAGGAACATCAGGATGACTCCTTGGGTGTACACCGACGGCACTCCGAGTTTAAGCCCTTCGATCACGAAGTAGCGCATGCCGAAGGCGCAGATGCAACACAACGCTATCGTCACAGACGTCAGGATTGTGGCCACGATGAGGTCCGATCTTAGAAGTATCCTGTGCCGTGGGTGCCTTACCCAAATCCTTCAACAAACAATACACAACATCACAAAAAATGTTGGTTTACGAACTACAGAATAACATGAATGAAAGACCTACCGATGACTCGAGGCTGCTTTCACACGAGCATAGTTGTCTAGGAGATTTTCGCACATCGGTTCACTTTTTTGTAGTCAGTTTTGTAGGGGAGCACTTTCACACAAGCATGAAGTTGCCGGGAAGGTGGATTGGCGAAATCGCGCTGCCGCCATTTTTTTAAATCATTAATTTAAATCGCAAATCGGCACTGGTTTGAATTTTAATAAGGATCTTATGAGTTGCTTCGAATCGGCAACTCTTTGCTCGTGTGAAAGCAGCATCCGTTCTGAACGAAAATTTAAAAAATGGTTTTATTATTGATTACCCCTTTATTTTTATACAATGAGATGTTTGTCTTTACTCGCTGTTCTCTCTGTCAGACGTGTTTATTATTATTATGGAGGGCGTATGCGTTGGATTAAATTAGGTTAGGATAGGTGTTTGTGCTTGTGTTATGGGCAGGTTAGGTATAGTTAGAGACTGCTTAGGATAATTTACGTAGGGTTAGGGTTTGTGTTACAGGATAAGTAGGGCTACTGGTTAGGTTAAATACAGTTTGGTCGTTTCCGATCAGTTTGGTACACTTATTCCAGCAGTTTTGGCCTATCAAACCTTTTCCGGCTTTTTGCATTGTTAGGTGGGTTTATGACAGTTACCCTCCCTGCTTATATCCCGGACAACGAATGAAAATGGCAAACTGCAAAAACCCGACCGATCAGGAACGACCGATATAAGTTCATTAATTCTACTTTAGGTGCTGCGAAAATCAGACCATTCTGGTAAGATAAACATTTTTTTATTATCGGATTAGCGTATAAAGGAATATTAATATCTGATAATCCCCTCTAAAGCCGAGACGGTGGCGATAAACCTGGAGAAAACCTGTTGAACTCCCAAAACCTATTGACCTAGTAGGCTTTCCGGGTAGTTATTTATTACCCTGTATATCCCACGGGATGCTGCCGGTTGCGAATCTTTGCTCACCCTGACAACTTTTTTCGAAGTGCGTTTGTTGGATTCGGGCCCGGAAATTTTTTTTTTAATTTATCAATTCTCACCGAGTGACCGAAGGTTCTTTATGCACCAAAGTGTATAATTATCTCAATCATATTAACCAGCAGGTGTTGGCATTATTTTTCACGCAAGACACATGCGTGTGTCGTCTCCACTGCATGCACGTTATAAAAAAAATGATCGAGATATTTTTTGTAATTCAACCCTGATAGTACAATCATTTTGTTGAACTCTTTATTGGAGAGGATTAAACTGAGAATTAAATACCAAAATCAACTCTTTATTGGAAAGGATTGAACTGAGAATTAAATACCAAAATCATACTATTCTTAGAGGTTAATGGATCAGGTTTTTTGTTTTTTTCCCCAAGAAACCCATTTTATCGTACAAAAAGTATGTTAATAACACGTATGTTTTCAACTATTTCCGATTTGTCTGTGTAATTATCGGGTTGTCCGGAAAATAATGCAGGATTTTAAGTTTTCATTTANTATTTTGATTAAAGAACATTGCTTTAAAGTAACTAGTTTCTTTTTTTTTGTTTAATACCAAAATCCTGCATTATTTTCCGGACAACCCAATATCTATCTCTAGTGTGATTAATTTCTTTAGAGGAATAAGTATTCTATCTAATCCATTTACGTTGTAGTGGTCAATTGACCAAGTTACTTCTTTCAAATAATTATTCTTTCTATGAAAGGACTTGGTTGAGATAAAAAAGTCCGTGTCACGAGCGGGATTCGATCCCACGAACTTCGGCTAAATACGCGGCTACGCTACCACTTGAACTAACGTGAGCGATCCGAGAGGAAATCACGATAACTCAAGTGGTAGAGTAGCACCGTATTTAGTCAAAGGTCGTGGGTTCGAATCCCGCTCGTGTCACTGACATTTTTATCTCAACCAAGACCTTACATAGAAAGAATAATTAATTGAAATTCTATGTAATAATTCTTTAGAAGAACCTTTAATAGATTTATTAAAAATTAAAGATCCCTTTTGAAGTGGCTTACTTTAAAGTTGTACATTGACATGGTTCTTCTTTTTTGTTTGCTTCTGCTGTAAATCTTAACAGAGAAAATACCTTTCGTCAAAAACCCCAGGTGTGGTACTTTATGAAAGTTCAAACCTCTTATATCCTTCGTATATTTAAATTTTGTAGGGTAATTTTGAATTAAATAAGGTTAATTTGACGGAAAAAAGTTTAATTGTATATTATTAGATTTTCATTGTATTAGAAAATTAACATAATGTAATTTTCTGTTACAGAGACTTTTTCTAGAGGGACCCCTACCTTTATAAAGTAAGTACTTAAACAATTTCCATTACATCCGATTTAAAAGTTCTTATGTGTTCTGAACCTCACCTGACGGATTGCAATACACTGTATCTTCGGCGTCTTTTCGCTGAAAACTCGAATTTGCATATCTCGCAGTGCTGCCTGCCGCAAATGTTCAGCCACCTTTCCAAACAGCTGAGATGAACCTTGCCTAGAGTACCTGCGAAAGAGATATATTTTGACTGTGATAGTTTAATTCTAGAATGGGGCAGATCTGTAATAAGTATGACAAGAAATCATCACAGTGGGAGGTTAAATTAGAGTCAGTGATGTGCCTGTTCTCGCTGTTTATTTCGGATTACCAGGCAATTGTTGAACAACTGTCAAAAATCAATTGTTTATCTTTCAAATGATGGATATGCTATTTTTTAATTTATTAATTAAAAAACCCTGCAAGGTTGTCTCTAGGTCAGTTTTATGTAATCTTTCAAATTACTCACCCCGAAAAGGAATGTACAACACGAATTCGTTGTGTTGAAAGTTTTTGGGGTTCATCCCCCCCCCCTGACACATTCGAGTACGATAAAATTTAAGACTTTACTTGTTAACGTTTGGCTAATCATGTCGTCAATTACTCTTGGCAAACACTTTGTATTCATTGGTAAGTTTAATCCATCGATTTTCCCGGCAAGGTGGAACCGACCAAGGCCAATTTCCGCTACGGAAATATATAAATTTTCAGAAAAAATATTACTTAAGAGCTGTTTTAAAAGTTTGCAAGTATTTTAAATTTTTTTTTGGTCATTAGGATATTATGATCTGAAAGGTGGCGACCTAATAAAAGGTTTATGCTCAGAATTTTATGGAAAATTGAGTAGGTTGGACCGTGCGCACTAGTTAAAGGGTTTTTTCTTTTCAGAGTATTTTATATTTAAAATAAAGCATGTTAGATTTTTGACACTCACAATTGATTGACCCAGTAAGATCATTTACCAAATAAAATACTACTTCGGTTAAACGCGGACTTAAACTTCATATTCTGGCCAATTCGAAATTATTTAAACGAAAATAAGTGAATAATTTAGATTATAATTAATATTGTATAAAGAAGTTGTTTTTTTATAAAAGAAAACAAAAGTGCCCATCTTGTTCTTTATTCTTCATTGGCAAAATTCAATAACGAGGCCACTTGGCGCCTTCTGACTACTGATTAACTAAACAATTGTTGAAATTTACGAGCGATTAATTGGGGTTAAAATGCCCGTCGATTGTATTTTAAAAATACAAATTAGATATCTGTTCGGTCTGAGGAAATAAGCGATTCTTTCCTTTCATCTGGAGTAATCCATCTCCCTAGATTTGGAATCTCTTAGATTTGGTACTTAGTACCTTCGCGTATTCTTTAAATGTTATTTGTAACGCAAGAGTGCGCGAGGCACAATAAGTTACTCAGGGTACATATATCGTACATAATATGAAATAGAGTAAAGTATTATCCAGTGATAGCTATTAATTGAGATAATTGATTAGTGATTAATTAAGCAGGTCACGGGGCAACTGTCTTTAGATGTCGAAGAAATTATTGGGAAGAAATCGGACGGAATGTTTTCGTGAGTGATACGTGATAATAGAATGTGATTGGAGGTTAGCGTGGATTGTTGTGTAGTTAGATCTTACAACATATTTTATTAAGGGAACATTTATGCCGTGGACGGTGCGTTTGGAAACATAAAACCTGTGATTGACAATGGAGTTGGATTTTGTGGAGATTGGCAGGTTTGGTTGAACCCCATAGTACTAAGACAAGAGACCATATTGGTTGGAGCATTTAGTATTGCGATCATGTATTTTGTCACCTAGGGGGAGTTTAGACTGTGTATACCTTCTTAAGTCTATTCGGTCCTCTTTGAGCCTTGTATGGGGAAAGCGTAACGTATGACGCTTTTGGTTGGATGAGGTTTTAATGGATTAGAACCTAGAGAGTTGCGACGGTTGATAATTTTTTTTTTGGGGGGGTACCGCGTTTAGTTACGCCATTTTTTGAACCATCGTTCAAGGGAATAAAGGTGTGTGTGGAGGATTCGGCGAGCTATAACGGTGTCAGAGAGTCGGAGGTTAGAATGACAGTATCATCAGGGAATGTTGGGATTCTGGTATTGGGAAGGAAAGGAGTATCTTTGCAAATGCTGAGAACAGCAATGGACCAAGGACTCCGCCCTAAGAGAATCCCGTGCCCGCCTTGGACAAAGATTGTCAATATCCCAGACCCTAAAGTACCTATCGACCAAGTAGGACATTGAGGATGCGATAAAGTCCGCAACATGATGGCACTGTTGAATTGTAGAATAGTGAGTTTTTAATCCAAATTGATGGGGAGTATATTCAGGTCAGTTGTTTATTTAACAGTTACCCTAATAGGGTAGCAGATGACGTTTGCGATAGGAAGGGAGGTGAGGTTGAATGCGACAAATAGTGAAGGTTATGTTTTGAGAATTCTGCAGTTGTATTATTGTTTAATTGAAGTTCTCTACAGTTGAACGTTTCTATATGAAATGTTATGTATGTCCTACTTAACCCGACCATTGGATTGACAGGGAGTAGGTGTAAGGGGCTGAATTACTCCCTTACAAGACCCTTGGACTGATTCCAACTATATTTCAAGCAATGGAAGAACAGGAACCACAACCGGACAGTGTGCTAAAGTTGGAGCAAAATGGCCTGAGTGAGAAAAGCTATTTAATTGTTAATAAACAAACAGGCATTTCGTTTTGTATTTTGTTGAGCGATTAGAGCCTAGTTTCGACAATTAACACAAATGGAAAACCTTTAAAGATCTTCAAAATCTGTTCATAACACGTGGAACAGTAGGTTTAGATAACAAGAAGTTTTTTCAATCTATAATTTTTTTTCTTGTAGTTTCGCCCTATTTTTTTTTTTAAATGAAAAGCCTGGTCTTTATTAGGGGATTTTTAAAGATTGTTCCTGCAAAGAAGGAACGCTTGTGTCAACTGAGTTCTTATATTCTTTCAAGTTTTTAAAGATCCATTTGTAGAATTACTTGTAAACCACGGACGACCAATCGATTGGTTTCTGGATAACAGGATTTTTTGGAAGATAATAATTACAAAAAAGTTGTTATTCTTGAAACATCAGCTGGCGGATGTTCTTAACATAAATTGTATTCAATCATTTTGTTTTTGTATGTTATAATAAAAAGCCAGTCCCACAAAACGATACCCAACGGAGAGTAAGTTTTTAAAGTTATTATCAACATAATATATAAGATTGTCCAAAAGCCTTGCGTCTTTGGTGGGTCTGTCGTAAGGTTTCACAGTATTTTCTAAAAAAATAAATCCCCATAAAATTGTGTTGTGTTCAAACAAAACTGGCGTTAATGGTACGAACGGAATTATTTAGAAAAAGGGGAACTTTAATTACCTTTACAATTACAGGGAGATATGAGTGCTTCTCTGCTCTTAACCGTCTGGCAAATTCTGCAAGTGCAGAGGGACAGGCTGGAGCCCGAGTCCTTGAGTTCGTTGGCGGCGCCCTCCCAGTTGTCCATCCTGCTGAAAACTTGTTCGTGGGACTGCGCTGGATCTAACTGCACATTACACTAGGCGTTGCTGGTCGGAAAAGTGCAACATATGGTTCTAACAAAAGAGAATTAGCCGTGCCCAGATTAATCTCTTTCCCTTCGCCTCCGGAAAATAAAAATTGACGTACTTTGTTGCAACCCGTCGAAACATTAAATCCCGTACCCAATCAACGTGTCATTTTGTACTAGGATTATCTTGGTTTAACATATGTTTTCAGTGTTTACTTCAAACTGATATTTTGTTTTAAATCCGTTGATCTTAAAAACATCAGTTGCTTTGTTTTGGGCCCGACTTTTTAATGGATGTCTGCCCAAAAACAACTAAGAGGGCAACGAATTATTTGTGAAGCAAAAATGTAGAAAATCCTGCGTTAGTAGGTTGAACAAAATTTCAAAATTAATTGAAGCTGTGCAATGGGCGTGTTTCAAAACATAACGACAAAATACATGTTCATACATGTAAAAAACATAATTCAAAGTCATTCAAATTTAAAATAACAGGTCTTGAAATTGAATAAAATGTAGACGAGTTCACAAATTCAAGGTTCGAAAGTAGTACTAAACATATTTCTCAAAATAACAACTAGGGATGACGGCATGTAGATTTTTGGTTTACATAATTTTCTCCCACAATCGCTGACATTGTTTTTAAAAATCACACGGTTCGACTCTACTATCCTGTCAAAGCGACCCGGTTAAAATTATTTCTATTTCCTCAGTTGTCAAATTTAAATTATCCTGCAAAATAAGTTTATCTATCTATCTAGGAATGACTAAAAAGTGTAAAGATCATAAGAATGGAAATCATCAAGTACGTCGTCAATTTGTTATCTGTGAGCATTTGTGGCATATTGATTGACAAAACTTAACTGTAGCGATAACATATTATATTAAAATAATAAATATTTTAAGACAAATAGAAATTTGAACAACAAGTAACGTCTTTCAATAAGTCATTCTCTTACATAAAATTCGCATTTCACATCACATGGGAGCCCGGAGGGGATATCTCGAAGGGAAAGCCTTGTCCTGACCCGCCTGCGGATAGGCCACACACGTGCGACTCATGGGTACCTGTTGGTCGGCGCGAGTCGACTTAGGTGCCCAGCATGTCAAGTAGACAGACTCACGGTGTCGCATGTGTTGGAGGGGTGTCGCAGCTTGGCCCTGTATAGGGACCAAAATGGAATACCGCCGGGTTATAGAAGAATGCTCGAGCATGGCAGCGAATTCAAGGACAAACTTTTTAGGTTTCTAACAGATATTGGGATTATGGGTTGTATATAGAGGGGTATTTATTTTATAGGTTTAAGTTTAGCTTTAGTTTCTGGTAGAATAGAAGTATGTTGGGCGGCGGTGCAGCATATTATTTCAAGGCTCCACCGCTGCTCCGGTAAACCGGTTCGGGGCGGAATATCGAGTACCCTCCGACCCGGATTCCAGACAGAGGATATGCATGTGTGATTGGGTGTATTTATTGTATGAGTGAGTGTGAGAATGTCTAGTTTTAGGGAACGTAAGGGCGCCGAAATGACCAAAGAAGTCGATGGCGCCCGACCAGAGCCCAACCTCGGAGTCGCTTATGCACCAAGGTGGGTGACTCCCCCTGATCTATCAGGGAGAGGCCAGAGGCCTCCTAGGAGGTTTCGCAATTCTAATTCTAATTCACATCACATATTTTCTGATCTTCACGGAAAGTCATTGATCATTTACCTATATATAACCTTATTCCAGCTAAATTTTTTAATTGGGCACCTTCATACACAAAACGCGCTTGTAATTCGTATGTCTGCTCCACGGGAAGAAATTGAATCATGAATAACCTAACCTCTATCTAACCTAATACTCTCCTCTAACCCTCATCCTATCTAACCCGGTAAAGTGAAATCGATGACAGGAAAATGGTCACGCCAAAAAATATGTGTATCATTCCCAAAAACATTCATGTTTAATCAATTAACAATTTAAACACAAATTGTAGACACTTTTGGTATATTTATTGAAAAACTAACTAATATTAAAATTAATAATAATTACCTAAAACTGATGATTAGCCCTAATCTAATACTAATTCTAACACTAAACAACCGGACAATTAACCCTAGTCCCTAGCCCTAATTTAACCAAACCTTTCATAACCTAACCCTATCTAAGTGCGAATTCGATGAGGCCTAAATGTCCAAGCAAAGAAATATGTGTATACAGCCCAAAAAATATCGGAGTTAAAATCTTTTTATTAACAAACAATTATAGCAATCATAATTAACAATTCAGAAATAATTGTGGGCACTTTTGTCATGTTTACTGAAAAAATAACTCTAATACTAAAAAGAACCAAATTAACAATAATAAATATTCACGGCCTCTGCATGTTTGAACAACAATTAAGGCATCCTCGTTGATAAAACTTATGCATTTTTCTTACTCTTCACTGAACGAAATTGAATCATAGGTATATAACCTAACTACAATCCTAACCCCCCCCCCACTATGACCGACATACCCTAATTCTACCCTACTTAAATTAACATAATTTAACCCTTAACCTAACCTCGATTTAAGCCGGTAATGCGAAATCGTTAACTCAAAATGTCAGATAAAATGTTTAATAATGTTTCTTCAGTAGCAAAAAAATGTACAACACAAATTTTACGGCATAATAGAAGCCGTCTGCCATATATTCCATGTTTTGGTTAAGTGTGAAGATCAAGCTTAATTGATTAATAGTATATATTATTAATATAAATATTTAAGACTAATAGACGGGTAAACATCAATAAAAAGCCCTTGATGTAGAAGTGTGGTTGGAAATCCTAAAATTTTTCAGCTTAACCAAATAAAAATTAGGAAAAAAATTATTGGCATTTTTGTCTTCTTGAAAAACATAATAAATATTGACACTTGGTAGGCGCTGCACAATTTTTTAATTATAACTATAATATCAATGCAAAATGTAATTAATTAACTTTAAGAATAAAATAAACCGCTATACATAAAAAAAAAATTGGCCGAAAGCTTTTCTATCATCTAATTCATAAAAAAATACAATATGGTTTTGTTGCTTGTAACAGAGTTTTTAAAATACGTTTACTTCCTATAAACTTACAAATTATTATACATTCAATAGAAGAGTTCTATTAAATGTCGCTAGTTCGAAGTCCCGAGTGGATCTGAAGTAGAAGCATGGTCTTGATGCTTAGCTTAATAGGTTCCATCGGCATTTATTAATTTGAATCAAGGGATAATGACGATGTAATACGTACACCTATGGTAAAAAGTAACTTTCAACATAATGTTAAAGAATCTTAACATAAATATATACTACTAGAAGTTAGAATAAGTAATGTCTGATTTTCTTTTGAATGTGTAAGAGAGCGAAATAAGTTCGTGTTAGGGTGCATTGAATTAAGAATACTTAACCTGTCCCTAACCCTATCCCACCCTTTTCCTCTCATGTTTCGTCAGGTAATAAAACATTCTAATCAGTTCGATTTTTTAATTTTGTTTTCGTATTTGAATTTATTCCTGTATCTAGATGTAATCCTGTTATTTGATTTTAAAAGTTGCCGGGATCAAATGGAGTAGAGTTTGTATTTGGGGGTAATCCACTCATATTTAGCTCAACCGGATATATTATTTTTGGAGCCTACTTCATTTGGATTTAGACAAATCTGTACAGCCTGAACTCTAAATGGGGGAAAACTTCGATTAAAGATCGTAAATTTAAAAAAAAAAGTCCTATGGTAAGAGCTTTGGATAAAATGTAGAAAATTTGTTTCATTTTTTTCAAATTTCTCATTATAAATAATCTTAGTTCAATATTTCAATAACTAAGTACTTACTATCAGTCAGTATCAGGTATCAGAATAATTCCCTGTGTTTCATTATACATTGAATAATTTATTGGCTATAATAATTATATAACGAATCGTAAAAAAGATTTCATCATTGTGATCACTTATATTTGTTTTGGCTCGGAACAAAGCTATAGGATGCACGGACTTCTCCCGATAAGAGAAATATTTCTTTCTAATTCAACATCACTGTGATATCTTCTATGACAATCCTTTTAACCCGTCCTCAGCAAAACAGCTTGGGATGGAAACAAATCTTTCCCATCGTATTTGCAAATTCGATATGGATTCGAATGAACTTTTTCCTCTTTGGTTTCGAATGGTATTATATTTTGCATAGACAAGAGTAGAGTTTTAGTCAAATATAAAACTAGGATTTAACTAGTATTAGCTTAAATTATCTCCTTGACGTTAATTTGGACCGGATGTTTAAACGCGTATCCATTAACCACACGGCCAATTTCTCATAATTAAGTTAAAACATCCAAACTTTCCGTCAATTTAGCAGGCTTGCTGTGCTATATTAAATAATAACAGCCTAAAAAAAGAAAAAAAACCAACCACACAACCAACTCTTTCAAATAGAAAACGTGTTAAATCTGAACATATCCATTGACCTTATAATTTAACAATAAAATTAATATTACAAAGGAAAACGTTTAGGAAACCAATTATGTAGTGTTGAGAAGGAGCGTTGATTTAATATCTGAGAGGCCCTTTGAAATACCCTTTAGTTGTGATAAACGATAACGATGTTGATAAAAGGTACAGTAAAGTAAATTATACTCTTTTATGAAAAAAGGTACTATCAGCAAGCTCAACTTGTCGAGAGACCTTACAATATTCCACAAATTCCACTAACTTTTATTATTCAGCATTTAATTGGTTTATTATAATTTGACTAAAGCCGTACTCTATAATTACATTTATTTTTGATAAATTTAAGAATACGTATATATTTTTCTACCTGTTGGAAAAGTAATAGTATTTTTTGTTTTTTCGATTTTCCAAATTTTTTTTAAAAATTTAGTTTGCCATTATTTTTTCAGTTGATGTTATGTACTTTACATAATAAACAGGGCTTAACAGTAAACTAGTCATAGGAATATAAACACAGCTATAATTTACGTACTGTAATTCCATTAATATCATTGATATCATTTTCCCTATTAAAAGTTCTGCTCAGTGAAAAACGATTTTCAAGTTCGGGTGGGTTTACACTTAATATTTGTAAGTTGTGTTTTTGAACTTCAATTTTCTGAAATTTGTGAAAGGTCAAATTAAAAAAAAAAATAATATGTTAACATTAAATTTTTTTTCCTAATTTAAAAATTGGGGACCGCGGTAGCCGAGTGGTTAGCATGAGAGACTCTCACGCCGCGGTCGTGGGTTCGATTCCCACCGTCGCCTCTGGCCCTTTTTTCCCGATAACCCCCAATTTGAACACACAAGAATTCGTACTATGGCTAATATGCAAGATCATAAGGCCAATTAAAAAAAAAATTAAAAATTACTTTTACTCAACGAGAAAATGCCCTTGAGTGCGAACTAAATTATTGCGTTAA